GTGGTCAGGCATTGGAACAGGCTGCCCAGAGAGGTGGTGGAATCACCATCCCTGGAGGTGTTCAAAAACGTGTAGATGTAGCACTTTGGGACATGGTTTAGTAGGCATGGTGGTGTTGGGTTGACGGTTGGACTGATGATCTTACAGGTCCCTTCCAACCTTAACGATTCCTGGTTTTACTTTCATTAAAAAATAATGCAGCCACCAAGCCAGGAAACATGAAATTAATTATTACTCTACCCATAATTGGTTTAGTGGTGGACATGGTAGTGTTAGGTTAATGGTTGGACTGTATGATCTTGAAGGTCTTTTCCAACCTAAGCAATTCTGTGATTCTATGTTATACGACAATTTAACCCTCCTGATTTAGGGTGCAATGATAATAAAAAACTGTATTTTACCTTTCTAAAAATAGTTTGTCAACATAAAGCTTAGATTAGAATATGTACCAGTAAATACGCCATACCTGAATTTTGCGCTGGGCAGGGCTGACAAGGCTCCCCAAAGGCGTAGTCAGTGCTGGCACAACAGCACTCTGATTTTGTAACTGCACCAGTTAATGGTCTCACACATTGTCCTCTCTTGTAGCCACCATAGCATGTGCTGCGCATATGTGTATCTGAGGAAAGAAATCTCTCTTAATCCTGCCATAGTCAACTATACTGTCATGAATTACAAGTATTAAATCTAGCTCAGGTACCATAAACACTGTAAAATAGCTGTCAAAACAAAACATCTTTCACCATTTCCCTGTGCTTTTCAACCACCTATACACTCACTCTACTCAGGACAGGAAATTCTTCCTCATGCTCCTAAGGGTTCAGACATACAAACTAGTTACTGCATTTAATGACTTAACATGCATTAGTGAACTACTAAGGGAACAACCAATACTTAACCTTGAACTAGCAAGAAGCCATGGGGAAAAGGGACAAAGTCTCTGCCATGTGACAGGGACATTACTCGCTTGTAACTTGACAGGCCCAGCGGCAGGATCGCTGAGCTAGAACCATGTGTATCTCAAAACTTCCAAAAAACCTGAGTTGTTTATGTTATTCTCAGAGAGGACTGATTTGATTTTAACAAGAAGTATTTTTCCTCCCCCTCCCAATCTTGTTAGTTGTCTCTGATTCATCAAGGCTAAAATCACTACTGGTGCAACACCCTGGATTAAGCCTACTAAGGCCACACTAAAGCTTTTGTTTTCATTTTATACCTGAAAAAAGGGAGAATAAGAGAAAAAGAAAAAGATCACAAAATATGCTGTCATTAAAAAAAATCTTTCTTTGCTTGTAAAAAACAAAGAAATCGTCAGTAATGATATTCCAGTGATAAGATTCAAAATGTTTACCTTTTCAGGTCCAGGGGTGACATTTCTCACTTTATAAAAACTGGCCCATAATGGCTGTCAGACACATTAGAATTTTAAAATCAAACACCTCAAACATCTTCACTTGTAGAGAAACGGGCAGAAGCGGAAAAATAGATATGTCCCACTTTAAAACGAGGTGAAAGAGTAATTAAATCTTTAAGCTTAGTGACAAATGAAGAATTTTACATTGACAGAAATGGGGCAAATTCTCACCTACTCAAAACTGATACAGCACTACTCACCTCCAACAGCACTATGCTGTATAGTCTACCTGGCCTTGTGATTTGGCCCACATATTTTTTCTCTTTAAATGCAAAGGAAAAGAAAAAAGAGCAAAATGGTCTATTAGAGTAAATATTCCTGAGCTGTTAGTATCCGCTATAACTACCACCCACCAATCCATGAAAAAATGCTAAACTCTACATTCAAACTTGATCTGTCCATCAGCCTAGCATTAATGCCTTAACGTTGGTTAATTGTGACTCACCACACATTAAGCTTGTCTTACCGACACACACGCGTCCGTCCAGTCCTACTGCAAGGCCAGGGAAGCATTCACATCTGAAAGAGCCATCAGTGTTCACACAGCGCCCGTTCATGCATATTCCAGCTGTCTCACACTCATCGATGTCTGTTGGAGAACAGAATGAGCTTTATTAGAAATTAAATTACATAGTGTTCAATGCCTGGCTGAAACTTGCATTTGTACGGCTTATTTTCAATGTATCCTACAGAAAAATATCAAGTGTAAATGGAAACTAGTTCAAGTAAAGGTTTTATTAAGAACAATGATTAATCCATTCTGTGAAATGGAAGAAGAAAATGCAAAATTCAGGAGAAATAAACAGAACAAAATATTTTCTCCTTGGAGAGTGAACATTTTCCTAACTTGTTCCCAAGAGGTACATATTCCAATTTAAGGGTCATTCAGGCAAAAACATAATCAGAGGAAGGAGGAAACTCTGACTGCTAAGACAAAGGACTTCTTTAGTGTGTAACAGGGCATTCCCTTTCTGTCTTAACAGTTAGTTTATGCTGTAAGAAATCAGTCCAGATAGCAAATCGAATCTTTCACCCGCACTATGAGGTGCTTTCACAGGGCTACCAAAGAATTTCCCTTCCTCCTGCTGCGGGTTCGGTTTTTGGAAGTACATTGGAATGTCCACAGTCAGACCCCGCCTGCATGTAGTGTCTCTCTGGTGATCTGCATGACAATTGGGTTTTCCTATCAGATGCTCGTTACAGCCCATTTTATAAACTTTCAATGGACAGACTGCACTCCAGCCTTGAAAGGAATTTGTTAATGATTTGAGCCCCGAGCAGTTCCTGAGCACAAGTTACCATCTTTGCCCAACAAAAGTACATTGAACAATAAGGCCCTTAGCGATGAAATACAAGAATGAAGCCTTATAATATTAGACTATCACAAAGGAATGTCAAATTAGTAAAAAATTATATAGGCTGTGTATCCTGTTAATAGTGAGACCATTCTCTAGACACAGAGAGCATACCATTACTTTATAAGTGATTAAGAAAAGGAGTGTTTAAAATATTGTTTGGATGTATAACCTTTATAAAATAATCACTTCATAACAACTCTCCATAATATATACAAGAGACAGTGTGTGTGACAATTTCCTTTTTTCTGACCTTAAAAGGGCAAATTGAGAGTGAAACACCTCTGTGTTTTACTTAGTTTGTGTTGTTTGGCATAAAACATGGCTTGTATGATCCAAGATTCCTTTTTCAAACTGCATTTTAAAATAGAAGTTGTATTTAAGTACATGGGCTCAATTCATTTCTACTTCATCCTGCAAATCTTTTGTTCTGTTTCAGACAAATCTTAAAAGCTTTTCCCACTTTAAATTTAGTCCTTACTCAGTGTAAGTAAAAACAGACTCAGGACTTCAAAATGTGCCCATGCTATTTAACAGTGTAGACAGGTATTTTGTTAGACAACACTGAATTCTTTTGACAAATACAAGTTCTCCTTAAAAAAAAAAAAAACCCAAAACACTTTCCCTTTTTAAGGTTACTTATAGAAACAGAAAGGCAAAGTTACTTTTTTTTCCTTTTCCTGTAGTTAATTTTTAAAAAGATTTTGTAAGCGAATAAGAGGTGAAATGTGCAATCCATTTTCTTTTGCACCGATTTACAAATGTGTTGAAAATACTGTTGTAGATGTTTTATAGAAAGGTAAAGTGGGTCACTTAAAATTGTGCAGATCAGCTGAAAACCTGGCTCCAGTAAAGATGGGGCAAAAAGCCTCTGCTTCCATCAGGGCTGAGATTCCACCCAGTAAATCAACTGCACATGCAGGCATAAAGTCCGTATTTCTAACCTTGACAAGGCTCTGCTGTCTTCTGTGGCAAAAGTTGCTATTTCGATAGCTTCAAAAATACTTGTTTTTCTGACTTTTGCCAGAATACCTCAACCTGCTTCTGGAAAACCACCTAATGGACTCATTCTCCATGTCCAATGAATTTTTGCCTTTTCTGCTTAGCTTGCTCAGCAGTGCCAGCTGGGTACGCTAAGTCCTCTAATTTTAACCAGGAAAAATTTACTCAGACTACTAAACTGCCACTTCAGATGCCTTGCAATAGCTTTCAATTTGGGGAATTCCTGTTTGGTCTAAAGATTAAACAATGTATAGAACAGAAATCCTGCTTTAAACCTCTGCCTGCCTGATGTAAGTATTTCTGAAAAATCATCAGCAAATCATCAGCAACAGAAGCTAATGGTGAATAAGCGTAGTATGTCTTGTATTACAGGGAATACACAAGACTATGGTGTAACATTCTTTTTTGGCATGTTACTTCATAAAGCCTGAGTGGAATTTTTTACCAGACAGCCAAGCATATGCCCTGTACTTACACTTAAATTCCAGTTTTATGGAACTAAGTGTCATTTACAGTATCCCCAACTTTGGGTTAGAAATTCTTCTTCATATTTCAAAATTCAGCTTAGAATGCATCAAATGAGATGTTTATAGGAACAGTGAGTTGCACACTGCAATTCCTATATTCCTTTGTTGATCCCCTAAAGAGTTGGCAAAAACACATGTTCAATTCCATATCAAAATTGCTCAGGCAGGTAGCCAATTTGCTGCAGAAATGTCAGTTTGTGCATACACACATTCCCAATATGCATGAGCACTAACTGCATATGCAAGCATGAGCTTGGAGTTTAAGCTTGTGTAAGATCTCAATGCATTTGCTTCACAAACAAATTCAGGATACACAGTGTGAACAATGAGTGCTTCAAAGGCTAACTGTTCTATAGGACAGAACTTTACTCTGCACCTGTGGTGTGTACAGAAAAGACTCAATAAGGGTAAACATTAAAATGTACAGGGAAAGACATTATTAAAGATCAATCTTTTAAACTTTTACTAATGTGACAAGAGACATTTACCAGAGTGTTGTGCTCTCTCTAGCCACTACATTCCTGGGAATTATTACATGATACTTTGGGCAAGCGGAAGAAAGGAGACAAACATGAAGTTGGGAAAAAGTGTAATTTGGGTGTCAAGGTCTCAAAATCTGGTTTGATTTTGACCCAATAGCAATTTTAACACATAATGAATGTTTGCATGCTCATTCATAGAGAACAAGGCTTACTGTAAGTGTTGAAAAGCAGTGGGAGAAATCCTTCATTTTACTATAAGATCTGTTCCAACTTTCAGTAGGAATCAGTTGAGTTGCCTGCAATTTTGGATAATTTTCAAACATTCTCCCTTTGATGCACAGAAGTAACATTTCTCTAGGGCCAGAAACCCCTTTTTGGCTGTATCCATACCCCTGTTTAGCCAGGAGGCATGTAACAGAGGCTGTGAAGTTGAGTATCATTGGTTTTTAAGTAGTCTGAAGCAATTTACATACCATCTTCTTGGATGGCATTTCAGCGCACAGACTAATGTAAAAAAAAAAGAAGAAAGAAAAAATACCAAAAGATGCTCAAGGCAAAAATCAAGACAAGCATTTGGGCTGAGCTTGCATCAGTGAGTCACATCCCTCCTAACGACACACAGAGCAGCCAGTGGTCTTTGGGAACACGACTGGCTGATGTGCCAAAGCCTGATGGGCATTGAGTTCTTCCCTGCCAAGTCTGAGACCAAGTATTGCTGCCGTCCCACATGCAGACCAGCTGGAAAATAAGCTTTGCCAAAGCACAGACATACACCTACCACTTGGAAAACAGGTAAGAACAGAAATAAAGCTGATTGCTCTAAGTGTATGAAGGCTGCAGCTAACACAGCCAGTAGCTGTTAAGCTAATGAGACACTTGTATGGATCTGCACGTTTGTTCATTCGAGAAACTAAAGAACAATTCATTCTCCCAATCAAAACAACCCTATTACAAAGCAAGAATGGGGTCATGTCTCATTAGAAGTATGATTCCCCCACCTGAAGACTGGGTAGCACTGTCCTGCATACCTGGTGCAAAAGTTATCAAATGCAAGAGAAGTTCCGGATGTTTTACCAGATTTATTTTCCTGGTTTGGGTCTAAAGTCTAAATCTAGACACCATGCAGGTCAGATCTAAGACTGGTACAGTGTTCAAGAAGCAGCAGGATCCAAATTAATTCACCTTTCATGTCAGTAACTCTCAAAACCAAATTATTTATTCAAACATTTACTTTTGTTATTGGTCCATAACAAGATGCTGCTGTGTAATCCAGTGTGACATTTTTTTAAATTTGCTGAAGTGTAAGCAAGCACTTTTTCTGCCTTGATTCCAAGAGTTAAAAAATTTTAAATTTTTCAAAAGAAAAACTGTAAGTAACTTGGCCCAGCTCTTATTTATTCCTTATTTTGGTTTCTGCTTTGTGCCAATAAAACTTGTGGAAACATGAAGATTTATACACACAAAACTTCCAGTTCCTGCAGTTCCTGACGGGACTGAACAGAAACTCTGATGACATAACTAGCAACCAGAACGCTGCAGTGTCTCCCACAGAGGGTACTGCTGAGCTAGCACAGCAAATGGAAAAGACAATCTTGCTGTGGTGCTCATGTCTGCATCTCGGTCACACAGGGTGCTCGGCACTCCTCGGAGATGCTCTATTGACTAGGCACACCCAGGCAGGAATGGGAGAAAAACCCAAAGAAGGCAATGAGCCAGGATGTTTGGGTGGCCAAAGGCAGAAAACTTTAAAAGGCCAAACACAAGAAGTGAGATATACTGGAGCCAGCTGCAGAAGACCTCATAGACAAAAAAACCTGGAGTTTAACTAGGTCAGATCACACAGTCCTTGATCAAAGAATATTTCCCACTGGTTGGTTAGGGTGGTTGCTCAACACTGTGGAGAAGACTGAATACTGTCTTGCACAATGACAAATCATTCTAGCTGATTAAGAAAGCATATCTGGTGAGAACTCTGCCCAGCATTTCTTGTCCCCGAGGATCACTGTAAGGCAGTAAGGCAATTCTTGAAGCTACCAGAGGGATATGACTCACAGGCTTTGGGGACCCATAATTTAGTATGCTCACCTCTGCAATAGCGTCCATCAGATGCTAACTGGAACCCTGGTTTACAAATGCATTTAAAACTGCCGTCTTCGTTGATGCACATCCCATTGAGGCACATGTTCCTTATGCTGCACTCATCCATATCTGAAAATGTACATAATAGACATAATGCTCATAATGTTTAAGTAACAGAACTCTTACTAGTTATATCAAAAGATAAACCTTAATTTCTTTATTTAGTTGTCAGAGGTATATGATAATCAGAAACACATGATGGGCCATACTGCACTGCATCCTAGAGGATGTGTCAAAGCAATGACTCAATTTTTTCATAATGAATCATTAACATATAAAGGTATGCATCCAAAAAGAGCAAAGAGAATGAAAAACAGATGAGAAACTGGACAGCTTAAGAACTGCCAGTTGGTAAAAACCCTAAGAAAGTGAGAAAGGTATATAACTGAAGAGGGTTTGCAATCTTGCTGTAAATAGAAGCAGCCTCCCATTTGTAATGGTAAACACAATTTTATGTTACTAACAACACCCAAAAGGGGAGGACTGGGCATTTCCGTTTGGAGTGAAAACATTCGTAACCTCCATTGGATGAGTCTAAGATTTATGATGTGGGAGACTTTCCAGCACTGTGCTCAAGCATGCATTCTGTGGGCACTTTCACCATCAACTTCCATTTAAAATAAAACATACCTCTTCCCTGGATTCAGCACAACAGGTCACACAGGAGGGTACTTACTAATCATAGCTTCATACTAGCATTATTCACCCTCTGACCTAATCGCATAGCATGAAGCATTCAAATAGGAAAAGGTGGAGGTCCCAGACACTGCTATTCTGAACCCCGCAGTTACTCACATCAAGGGAAAAAAAAAAAAAAAAAAAAAAGGCAAGCACAGAGAATTCTGTGCTTGATTTGAGTAAGCTTTTATATCGTCCTAGTCTTTATTTCATCCTGGCGCAAAGTAAATCAGTTTTGGACGTTACATGCAAAAAAATCAGCACCATTTACCAGTTTCATCTTAAGAACTATACACAGTTACATTAAGGTATGGCACAATGCCATGGTCTTTACTGATTAGTGTGTGTGCACATGTATTCCGAAGAACAAAACTCAATGCATTACAATGCCAGAGATGAAACTGTTTCATAAGTGGATGCAACAGACATTCTGGCAACATATGCAATGGAATTAAAAATGTTTTACCAGACTGCTGATGTCCTGGTTCTTATTACTATTAGCACATGGTATTTGGTGGGAAAGGAAGAAATCAGATTCGAGCTTTTTTCCAAAATATATTCATTTCCAAATATATTTAGTCAATATAGTTCCATAATAAGATATTTAAAAAGCAGCTTATAGTGCTAAACTGTATCTAAAAAAGAGTCAGGAAAAACAGAGTCTTAAAATGTCTGTCTCTACCAAGGATTAACAGAATCACTACTAGCACATAAAATCACTGGATCATAATGACATTACAATATATTCTGAATCGTGCTATTTTCCTTAATATTGCAGCTGTCTTGGACAGAAATTACACTTCTAGACATGGTGTGTTTTCTTTTTACTTACAGGCTAAGTCAGACAAAAATAATTTATGATTTAAAAAAAAAAATCGTGTATCTATCCCAACCAGGAATTTTGGCATTAAGTCTTTGAGCTGAATCACTGAGATAATATTCTGCCAAAAATGTTTCTAAGAACAGTGCTTGAAATTCCTTTAACGTATGAATAGATCATTGGGAACCCTCCCAAGGACCTTGGGAAGCATGATAAAGAACATTCTTCTTTTTCCCCCCTTTACTAAAGGTCTGGGAGGTAGGAACACATCAATTATGTTTACAAATTTTTCTTAAAACAGTTTTTATGGGTCAGACCAGACTGCATCTACATAAAACACATTGCTAGTCACCCAGTAATATCCCATAAAGCATGCTGTTAAACACACAGTAAAATCATGCAGCATGTGACTTGTGCTCTGTTTTAAAATGTACCACTCCCATCAAAGAAACTGCATTTTGCGATAGTGGTATGTGCTATTTCTCCTGCTGGACAGACATCCCGTTGAGGATTGCCAAGCCAAGGCTCCAGAACTGGCTGCAAAAGACGGTTTACTTGCCCTCCCAGATACAGCAAAAGGTATTTAGAAATTTGATTCCTTGCTCCTTCCCTTCCCCCCCCCCGAGGTACTTTTCTTTCTCATTGACGTGAATAACCTCTTGCAACTGGAATTACTGATACGGAGTAACACCAGAAAAGTCTTACCTTCACAGTTTTTCCCATCAGCTGCCACTTGAAAGCCAGCATTACACACACAGTGAAAACTGCCATCTGTATTTATGCATCGTCCATTATTACAGATACGACCATTCTGTAAACATTCGTCAATGTCTGAAAGCCAAATGGAAAAGAAAAATAACATTTGGGGGGTTTTCTTTTTTATAATCAAGAGGAATTTTTCCCATTTCCCCTTCCCCTAGGTTAACCCTACATGGAAACTATATTCACCTGAAAAATGATTTATTTTGATTTCCATAACCGAATGTTATGGGGGTGGAAAATGTTCATCAGCTTGAAATTTCAAGTTGCTGTGAAAGAATTTCAGTGAACATCACCCTGCAGCTTGCTCAAACAAGAATCAGACCCTTTCAATTGTGTTTTTGCATTTTTGTTCAACATGAAAATATTTTTACTGAGGTTTAACTTAACAATAGCTAACCACTGAAGGAAAGACAGGGGAAGCTTGTCTTTTGCTTCTGCTGCTTCATAAGATAACAGGGAAGTTCGAGACTTTCCCACCTCAGAAGATACTTCTCCTGCTTATTTTATATTTGAAACATCAGCTCCTCATTTCCCTCTCTCTGCAGGAGGTGCTTGGCAAGTGCTTTGGAGGACCTGAATAGTGATATCACACGAGGCTGGCAGCTCTCCCTCTTCTCCAAACGAGGGGAGAGGAGATGCTGAGACAGACTGTCTAGACATTTTTCAGATTGCTCAGTGTTCTCCATCAAGGCCTGGACCATCTCCCAGAGATTCCTGCACACAGGGGACTCTGCTCACAGAGATCTCAACCAGCCCATGCAGACCTATCTATCGTGCAACCACGCTGTCTTCCCAAATATCCTGGGGGTGCCCTTCCCCAGGCCCTCTCAGCAGAAGTGCATTGCTGCACTTGAGGAAGAAGCACACCACTGGGCGTCCTCCCAAATGCCCCTGCTCTCTAGACACCTATGTGAGGGGAAACTGATGCCTCTCGAAATTGTGAACCTATATTTGCCTTCTTAGCAGCATGGTAGTTCTGGGACGCTGCTAAGAAATCCCTGAAAATAACTGTTTTGCAAGCAAGCAACCAGACCAGCAGAGGCAAGAGCTGCTCAAGTGACTGCTCACTGCAGTGGCAGCTTGCAGCCCTCTTGACTTCCAGCAAAATGTACAGGCTTGATAAACCTCCCCTCAACTGATAAACAAGCGTCATTGATCAGCAATGCATAAAAGTGAGTTTGCTCTCTGCTCAGTCCCTTTCCCCCCACTTTTGTGTAACTCGGTTGTACCTGAGCCTGGCTTCAGCTACTCCACCAGCCTTCTTCCTTAGGACAGGCAGAAATGCTACAGCATCTCAAGATTTTTCTGGCCTTTTAGTTTTTAGAGTTCATCAGGATTTGTACTTTTATGCATCTGATGCCATCTAAATTGTGGTGCAGAAAATTAACACACAATCTCTCGTTCTTTACGTATACACGGGTGACCGGAGAGCCACCACTAGTTTCTCTTACATTTCTAATTTTCAAATTATGTAATATCATTGTGAATTATTTTTTCCCCCCCTCAGAGAAACTTGCAAAAATCAAAGCTCCCCTCTCACTGAAATGTCCATAATTGCTGCCATCTCCATGTAAGGCCTGACCTCCTCCTCTCAGAAATGTTGGGTAGATTATAGTAAGCACTAAGCTAGTAAAGCTTTGACTCCCATATATTCATAGCTGATCATCATAAAATTTCACCTTTTTTTGAGGTCCATTTTACATGCCCTCTTCTGCAATTGAAAAGTATTTTTTGTTTTGATCACTAATCATAATGTGACAACCTTATTTATCTATGTCTCCAATTAACATATCCATTCAGCCAAACTCCTACCAGAATTATAAGGCACCCTAATAACAGCTGAATCAGTAGCTTGCTATACAGACTGCAGTGTTTAATCAGTCACCTATCAGACTGATCGTGCAGGAAAAAACCCTCCTCTGGAACCTCAGAGCAAGGAATAGATAAACATCTGGTCATTATGGAGACTTCATTTTTCAAGAGTGGACGTAAGGAATACATTTGCAAAAGCGTATCAGCACAGACACATTCATGTATGCAAAAAGTAAAACCTCAACATACAAAGTAGTCATGCAAAGTAATTTTACAGCAAATGCTGATTTTCGCAGGCACCAGTACTATATACGTATTTTGCCAAATGCACCCCACTAGCCTTTTTCTTTTCCCTAAACTGGTCCTAAAAATTCCTTACAAAAACAAAGATTTTGCACATTGTAGCATTTTCTGAACTGCCTATCAAGCAATCACAATTCCCATAGACTGCAAAGGAACTGCTAAGTGACCACACTTTAATGCCATTAAGCTACTGGGCTTCTGACAACCATGTGTTTGTGTAATGAATCAGCCAAATTAAAAGCGTGTGACAAAAATGACTCATGAGTAAATTCATCACCGCTGAGACTCCACTTCAGCACTCCTTCACCACTAGTCAGCTGAACTATGAAGATGCTTCCGCAACATGGCTGTTTGGCAGCAATTAGGTCAAATACTCCCAGCAACATGCAGCAGTGGTGCTGGCTCTGCATGTCCTCCTGGATTGGAGTAAGCTTCTGCACCACAAATACCTTTCTGATTCACAAAGGGAAGGAAAAAAAAATCACACACTAATACAGATATCTTTCTTCTGGTTTTTGAGAGACTCTCTGCTTCAGAATGAGTGCATGCTCAAGGAACCGTCCTCTTAGTGCAGAAAGCAAAATATGAAGACAAGCTGGGACTCCGAGCATTCAAGCATCCTGTTTCATTTAGATGCTTCATTTCTTAAGGAAATTAAAGTAGTCATCCATCCTCCTGCCAGAAGTCTCTCATTATTACTTAACTATAAAGGATTGCATCCACCTTTGCAGTCAAATTCCCACCCCTGGACAGTTTGGGAGCCACAGAACACTGACAGAGGGCTGATGACTGAAGAGCTACGTGTTCCCCACTCCCATAGGAGAACAGGATGAAGACCATTAGGACTATTGTTGAGCCTAGACTTCAAAACACCAACAATGGGGATTCTACAGCTTCCCCACCTAGACCTTCCCAGTGCTTCACTACTTCTCCATACCTTATTTAAGTTTTCATTGCTGTAATTTAAGTTGATTTCTTTCTCTGACAGTGGGCAGGGACGACACATGGGCACAGTACTCTCATATTTACCCACTGGAAGACTTATCTTTCCCCCCATCTCTCTTAATGTTTTAACAGTCTTTTATAGGTAAAGTGTTGCTCCAAAGAAGGGATGTTTAATTGTCATTGAGATCCTCAAGAAGCAAAAGAAAAAATGTCTCAATAATTAAAAAATAAAAAAAAGTCTCTTCCACTTCAAAGCCACAAATGGTGCCAAGATACTTTCAGCACAAGACAAAATGTCCTTCTTCATAACCCAGTCTGTGAACAGCCACCTCAGGCAAGTTAATAATTTTTACTGCCATATCTGATTTATTTAAAAAAAAAAAAAATGTTCATACTTAACACATCTGTTAAATTTTGCTTAAAAAACTATTTTCGCTCCTGGTATGTATACAATAGTACAGATATGGCTGTAAAACCATAATTTACCTCGGCACTCTGTTCTAGTTGGCGTGCTCTGATATCCTATGCGACACTGGCATATGTAGGATCCCTGGGTGTTCACACAGTCTCCACTGATGCATGGATTCTTCTCACATTCATCAACATCTGCAAAACACAGACAATATATTTTTATTAAGACATTGGTTGAAAGGTATTCGGGTCTGTAGGAGTATTTTACTGTTGTGTAGTTGGAGAAATAATGTGCTTCAATCTGAAAGGAAAGGGGACACCACTAAATTCCCAGTAAAAGGATCCCATGTTCTAAGCTAAGCAAGAGCTGGGAAAGAGGAGTACTCAACAAGACAAGGCATTGCATGTGTGAGAGGTAGAGGCCTTAATCCCACACCTCCACATTCCCAGCCCCACTGAAGACACAGACTTTGACAGAAGCAATATCTTGCACATAAGACAGCTAATCCTTGCTCCTATCATCAAGCTCTGGCTGAGTTCCAAAACTGAAGGGCTCGAGAGCCCAACAAGATACTCCTGATGAGCTGAAAGAGGACTTGTAAATCTTACTAAGCCAGACATCATGACTGCTGGTGTTTGGGTTTTTTTAAATAAGTCATTTGCATACTCAAAGAGCTGGTAGCATTTTAAAGAGGTCATTTTCAATCATGAATAAACACATTATAGTCACAGGTTAGTAAAATAAGAAATCCTTACTTCTGTATAATTTTCATTAGTTAAATACTACCTTAAAGGCAAAACTGCTATAAAAATAAGTTTGCAGTTGTGAAACCAATTAGTTCTTGGAAGTCTATTTACTGTTTGGGGGTTTTTTTGGAGGGGGGGGCGTTGTTTTATTTAAGAACTCAGAGTTATTACATTGTGTGGAAAATAACTTCTTTTTTCTTTAAAACAAAATTCCCCTCTGTGATTTACAGCAGAAAACCACATACCAATGCATTCCCCTCTAACATCCAGTTGGAATCCTTTGTTGCACTCGCAGCGGTAGCTCCCAGGAGTGGGAATACAGCGTCCATTAAGGCAGAGATGTCGGAACAGTTGGCAATAGTCAGTGAAGTTCACCGGCAAGATCACTGAAATAACAAGAGTTGGAAAAATATTTTAATAGTTCATCACAATAATTTTTGGTAATCTGCAACTTGCGCAGCATTTTCCATTAAAAGTCAACATTTACCTTCCATCACAATGTGGATTACATAGTAAAATCAGCATTGGGAGAGAGAAAACAGCACTTTGACTCTTAGGGATTTGTCTGAAAACAGCTAGCAACCACTGATTTTTTCACTGTAGCAAGCCTGATCCTGTTTTCCTCTTCTGCAGGACAAAAGAGGACTGAAGTCTGCTCATATCTAGTGGTAAAGTGGGTACATGGCACTGCAGGGACTCTACTAAAAGCCTATAGTAGCAAAGAGCAGGCAGACTGGTTCAGTTATCTCCATTTTCAGAGACAGCAGAGTGAGAGGAGGGCAGGGATAACACTGGAAGGTACGCCTATATGGTCTTTGGCAGGCAGACGTGAGCTGGCTCTGTCTGTGCTCCCAGCTGACCAGAAGCTGTGCAGCTACGTCAGTGCAGTGTCAGGCCTGAGTTTTTTGCCTCTTAGGCTTATTAGCTCAGCTTGATGCTGAACCAAGACTAAAGAGTTTCAGCTGGTGCCAGTGCAAGCAGAGCCTGCTTGCATCTACACAGAGCACGGGCAAAATGAGCTTCTGTTTACTTGCAAAAGAGTATGCGGCTATGCCAAATGATTTCAGGTGCACATGCCTACTGCAGACTATATGGGCATGCAGTAAATTCCCTAAGCAAGGGACAGAATAAGGAATATATCTGTATTCTGCTCTAGCTTCCTCTGTGCTCTAGAGAAACCTAACCTGTCCACACATACCACTGAAAAAGTTCTTTCTTTGTGTTGGGTCAGCCTCAGTGTCCAGCAGACTAGTATTTTTATCGATACATTTCCTACCTCGCCAAGACAGAGTGAGGAAAACAACCTGAAAGAAGCTGCTTTCTCCCAGCCATGCTCTTTAATGTAGGTAACTATCACAACCTAGTCAAAGAGCTATTCATGTTCCTCAACGTTGACGTGCAGCAAAGCTCACAACAGCCTTAAAATAACAGTAATGTAACTACTACAATACATAGGCCTCAGTACAGAGAGTGAGGATGTAATTATTGAATCATGTCTTAACAGGGAAAACACTACCAACAAAGTACACTTGCCGTGAGATACGTGGTAACCAGGCTATGATTAGAAGGATATCCAGAGACGATACGTCCACAGAAAGTAAGCAAAAGATACCAACAGTGAAAGCGAGCGCATTGTTCCTGAGAAATGCATGTTTCTTAAGAAGCTAAATGCAAAAGGTGCAGGGAAAGGTTAGTATTTCTTTCTTACCATGAGGTGGTGGGGCCCGAGATGGATAGACGATTTCTGGCTGTTGAGGAGGGTAAACACCAGGAAGGAGTGGTGGAGGGATGATGTCAGGACGGCCCGGAGGAGGAAGGTCAGACCTTGCTGGCAGTAGAGCAGCTACTGTGCACAATTTGCGATACTCATCTGAAACATAAAACCACGAATGCTGTTTTGACTCTTGTAGCCTTTCCATTTAATCCAACTCTCCCCCTTTTTGCAGTGTTTCAGATTAGCAATAACAAATCTTAAATAATCTGGAAAATCTGAGCCTACATGTTTTCTTCATAGTAACAAGCCTAGTTCTGTGAATTGAGTCATTAATCCATAGGAGGATATCAATACTACTTGTCAGAAGACTGCTAGTAAAAAGATAACATAACCGACGTTATAGATATGAAATTGAACAGTGAGGCGGGGACCTCTACTTAGTCTTCTTTCAGGCAAAATCTCTGATGAACTCAGTGGGAAGTTTACCTAAAGAAGGACTTTTGGACTTGATCCCAAGTTAATTTAATACAAAGCTTGCCACTGAGTTAGAAAAATACTGAACAGGGAAAAAAGCCCAGTTTCAACTGCATTTCTTAAAAGTTAACCTTCTAAAACAAAGAAATATAAACAATGAGGCAAAACCAATTAGAGAATGAATACACTAACGCTATTTCCCTGTGAAAATGAAGTTTGCCAATACAAGCAGAAACCAAATGAGGTGCAGTCTAAGGAGCGTAGACAAAGAGAAACCGAGTCAGATCCACACAGAGTTCATCCTTCCCTAGATGATGGGAAAATGATCTATTTTGCTGTAAGCACAGTCTATGCTGAGTGTTATGCATTCTCCTATTGTTTATCTCTATTAGTGGCATCTGCCCTACTGCCCCACTTTTCCTCCTGCCCCTAACTCTTTTGTCTTTGGGAAGTGTGAGTTTGGAACTTGCGATCCAAAGAGTGCACACAGAGTATCACAAAGACCACGTTTCCAGCTGACCTAATTCATGTCCACAACTCGTGTGTACACAAATAACTATCTATGCAGCCAGTATCTTTGAACTTCAAAATCTTATGGCACGACAGGGGAGAGGAATTATACAATGAAAACAAAATGCTACACAGATGCATGAATTCCTGAAACAATATAAAAAATGAGAACTGAAAAATAAATTCAGTGTTGGGAGAACTAAGCTGGATATTTCAGCCTTCAACACTTTCATTTCACTTCTATTTCCACCTGTAAAACACATTAGAAGCTCTTCCTGAATCACTGAGGATTTGTTAAATAAACATGGTAGCCTTAAGTTCTGCTTTTTCCTGATTATGATCTTTGCATTTATTTTAATGCTCTTAGGTGATCAGTTTGTTTCATGTGTCACTGCATTTCCTTCTATTGTTCCTTAGAGTGATTTTAATCTTTAAATCATTCCCAAGATTTTATTGTATTATGTATTGTATTTTGTTTATTTGGTTTTTTTCCTAGCTTTCTATTTTGCCTACTCATATGTAAGCTGAACCTACTCTCAATCAGTGGTCTACCTGTTACAAAACAGAGACATTCGAAGAAACAGTATCTGTGTATGTACATACACAAATTCCAATATGCAAATGTTTGCTAATGATGGTGGTTTTAAGCCAATTCTCTAATCACACATTCTCTGCAACCTACTGATCAGTCTTTGTGAAAGAAACAATACTGTATTTCTTTTTTACCCTAGATTGGTAATACCCAGTTATCCAAAGCCAATCCACCAGGAGCCTAGGCTGTCCATGCAAAAAGAAGTCACGGCCTTGGGGCTGCCCATCAGTTGAATGGAATTAGCACACATGAAGGGACTGCTGAGGTGAGAATTGAACACACACATGGCTGAATGCCTGAGATACCACTTTTAAAGTATTTATAGCGTCAGTGGTAAACCCTGTCATTCCACATAAACAATTATTGCCGTGTTATGCAAAAAAAATACAGTGCAAGCCTTTTTTATTGCAACTTTAATCTCCATGTATAATTTCTAGCAATAAACAGCCTATTTTATAGTAACATCTGGGTCTGCTGCCCACATTGAAAATGCAACTGCTTGGTTACATTATGCATCTAGTGCTCCACTTCATATTGCAGTAAATTTCCATTTCAGAGTTAGAGAGACTTTGGGCCACTGACAGCTCTAAATTCCTCATCTCGCTTTCCCAGGATACATTAAGGAATAACTGAATTTGATTAAATAATGACAGCAATACCTCACATACATGTAAGGCCTTTCAAAGAATTTCAAAGCACTTTTGAAAAGAGTAATTTATAGTCTCATTTTATATCCCAAGTCGGGGGGGGGGTAGGGAAAAAAAAAAAAACCAAACAGTGGCATGTAACCATGATCTGGAAGACCTTGCATGGATTTATGAGTCAGGAAGTCCTGGGTTCTAGCTCCTTCTCCACCACGTCTCAGTCTGCGGCCTTGGCCAAATTACTTCACTTTTCCACCCAGTTTATTCACCAGTTAGATATGAATAATTAGAAAGTATGTAAAGAAAACAGGGATTGTGTTAAGACTGAAGCTTTCTCCTTGTCTTCCTATTTTAAACGAGCATCAATAGATTACACTATTTTGTTAGCATTATTCTAGCCAGTCTTGGACATTTAACATGTTTAAATATTATTAATGAGATAGTGACAGAACCAGGAAGAGTCTTCCAAGAGTTCTGACTATAGATCTCTGCTCCAGTATTACGCAGTTTCACTCAAAGGATTAAAAACAAGAATAATAAACACTCCCATACATGACCCCTGACAATTTCTTCAGAGTTACACTGCTGTAGTGTTATGACCCCCATTCCTCCCTAAACTCTGCACCTCCCTTGAGCTTCTCCCATCAATCCTTAAGCTTCTTGTATTCTTCTTTTCTAAAGCATTTCATTAGGTCTCCAGTCCTAAACAATCTCAATAACATCTTTCCTCCACTCCCTCACACTTAGTTTCACAATCTGCTCACCGTCTTCTCTAAATTCAAATCTCACATTATCTGGGGATCTCAATACACAGGGAGGCGATAAAGTACAGCACATTTTGGTAGCAGACAGACATCATGTTCTGCGTCAACCTTCAGGAAATAAATGGCACCTCAGAAAGCTAGACATAAGAGGAAGGAAACCCCAGTTTTCCAATGAGAATGAAACTGCAGAGGGAATAAGGATCTATTAGAAGGCTCTGGAGGAAGAAATTTGAGCCTGAAGAGGATGGTGAAAACAAAATCTGGATCAGGTAAGGTAGGAATAACCAGGCTACAAAACAGTAATTCGCAATTTTTTTTTTGTCTGCTTGCCCCAGCCTCCTGGGGGTCCTGAGCAACCTGACATAAAAAGCTGAGCAGGGGGGTTGCACTGAACGATCTCCCAAGGTGCCCTCCAGCCTCAACCACTCTGTGTAGTTCTTTAATGAAAACATTACAGATAAAAGAAAATCACTGCCTAATTCAGTGTTCGACCATGCTCATAAGAATACAGGTGGATTCATACCGGTGGATCTGATTGGGCACATTTCAGGAGCGGTGGCTGCACCAGAAGACCAGCATCGGCCACTGTCACAGCAACACTGCATTTTGGACAAAGGCTGGGGGAGCTGATTGCCACAGCGCCCGTTGGTCAGAGAAGAGAAGCAGTATCCAGGACGCACATCTACCAAGAGAAAGAAAGGGATACGTAATCATCAGTCCAGTGAGGAATGTGACTTTCACAAAAGGGAAAGGTCCCATTTTTCTTCATTGATTACATTACTGATGACATAGCACTTGCAACATTACAACAGTCAGAAAACCAGAAAGATCTAGATAATATTTGGGCTGCTTTGGATTCAGGTGTAACACCTCCTGTGAGAAAGCTGAAGTGAAATATGGAATAGCAATGAATTAATGGAAGCAAAAATAGAATAGAAACATGTATTCATTATATAATAAAATATGCTTCTGTGCCCCAAAGAAAAATTGCAGTGTCATCTCTATTAAAGATAGTACCAGATCAGTTCTGTTTAAGCTTTGATTTGAAAGCCACTGATGTACAGCAATAAACTCAAAACACTGCAGCTCTCAAAGCATTAATTCATTTTTCATTAGTCATGGCTCCCCCAGCTGAAGTATGTAGTGATTTGACAAGATATAGGCTTGCAGGCAAGAAAGAGCAACACAGCTTTAACTGGTGCCATCACATTGTTTATGAAGTTGTGCTGGCTTCCTGTCTGAAAAGGGAAAGCACGTGCTGTACAAAGAACGTCCTGTACCCAGATTTCATACACTCAGCTCTAACAACATTGTACAGAGATCCCCCCAGCTTAGCAAAGGGAGACAAAATGTGGGTGTGAGGAGAAAAAATTTAAAAAAAAATATCTTGTGATACAATCTGAAGCTCTGAGCAATTGTTTCACAGTATGTCACATCATGTCAAACTCAATATAAGCTGAGGTGTGATTTGATGCTACATGATAAATCAGACCAAGTTTGTTTCTAAAGTGTACGAACATTTGCTGTCAAAATGTAGAGGAAAAAGTTGCAGATACAACCTTACAACAGCAGACACCATTCCCTAAAGAAACAGTATCTCAGTTATCCAGGGCATGGTGGATTCATCTGTCTATTAACACTGCTTTCCAGAGTTTACTACCTATTCTAGTGGATATAAAAAAAAGCAGGGAAGTTTCTTATTATTTTGAGGAAATTGATATATAGTGATATGTTGGGAGAGTCTGTGATGGTTCTGCCTTTCATTAGGTGGAACCCTGAACATGGATATTACTGGCAGCACAGCTAAAAGAGTCAGTTGGCCTTTGCTTCCAAACTTTAGTTAGTTCACTTGTATTATCATATAATGGAAATCTGAAACAGAGGAAAAAAAAAAAATCTACTCAGTTCTGTTACTGGTCCTCCATTTTCTCCTGGTACCCAACTAAACTGCCAAACACATACACTCCTTAACCTACCATTTTAAAAATCAAATAAAGCTCTGATGCAAACTGTTCCCCACTGTGTCTGTTTTAATCTTGGTCTTCACATGGAGTGGAGAGATATTCAGATGCTTGGTGTGATGGTGGGGTGGATGGTAAGGAAGTCCTCTAACAGACCCTGTCATCATTCTCCGTAATTCATCCTTCTCAGTTTTGGTCAGTACCAAGTTTTGAAACATTTAAAAGCAGTAATGGGCAGAAGTAGAAAAAGGATCTACACGGGATCTGTGCAAGCACACAGTGTGCCATAAAAAGGTGAACACACAGCAAACACCTTTGTTTACCTGCAGGTGTAAGAGCTTATCCAAAAGCCACATCATTTTCAGAAAAAGTAAGTTGGTGAGAAAAATACCAATTCTTTCCATATTCCTAATCAGAAGTGATTCTTTTTTCTTCTTTCATTTTCTGTTCCAAATGGTAAAACACACAAATAAGGGCAAGAATAGCAGGAAACAACTTTTCTACTGTTTCAGCTTTTAATATTTTAATATTTTTCACTAAAAAACCACTATTTTGAAAAGGCAAAAAAATCACCCTGAAAATAGCTTTCAAGAAAAATGTGCCTCTATCAAAAAAAAAAAAACCAAAAAAAAAACCCCAGAAAAAAAAGAAGAAAAAGAAAAATCCATTGAAAAGTAACACTGACCAAACGAATTTACGCCAGCTGGAAGTATAGGCTAGCAGCTTTCTTCATAGCACTCTTCATGTACTTGGGTTGAGAAGTTCTGCTCTTGTCTCTGCTCTTCAGCTCTAGGAGATACTATCTTTGCTTTGTCTATTCTAATTTTTAAGGTTTGTAATAATGGAACTCCCAGTTCTTCCTTTGGATGTTTGACTCCAGTGCTGCTCAGTTTGAGTCCCATAAGGGATACATTTCTCAGAAGCACTTCCTCATCTCTAACAGAATAGACATGTTCAGCTAACACTTTTCACTTAAGACAGGCATGTTGTAATTAAATCAAGATTACATGTTTTGCCCAGCTCAAATACAGATTTGGGCTCTTTCCTTGTTAATATGGCAAGTATGCAGTCTGCGTATTAGACATGAATCCAAAATATCTGCAGATAATTAATAGTGCTTCCCATTTAGCACGTTTTGCCTTGGACACAAAGCCAAAATTTTAATGATGGCTCATAGTCTGGCATATTACTTAACATAGCCTGTCATCATTTAAATACCTAACTCTTTTAGCTGAACTATTTCAGCCTACAAATACAGTGGGTAAAAAAAGCTGGAAAACTGCAGGAATATAACAATGGTGTGAATGTTGGGCAGTCCCGACTGAGCAATGACTCTAAGAAGCCTAAAGCAAATGCAAGTTGTGCATCTCAAGAATTTTTTTGTTGCAGAAAGGTGAATCTCCTTCATAAATATTAAGTACAAGCAGCAATCAATGATTTAATGATCCACAGTCATTTAGGAGCTATTAATCTGAAGCAATAAAAGCAACTCCCACTGCCATTTTAAGTGTACAGTATGGATCCAATCTACCAAAATGCTGTTCCTGATAATGGAAGAAATGTAGTTCATTTCTCACAACCTGCAGAAATAGAATGGCCCCATTCAAAAATGAATCGTAACCCAAACTACTTCCAGATCTCTTGGGGAAGTTAATATCATTTGGTACTTTTGTCTGCAAAGTTTGGGTTGGTTTTTTTTTTTTTTTTTTTCAATTTTTTCCCAAATGATTTTCTACCAAAGGTATTAAACACAGGGTGCTGTCTTGAACTCCAGTGCTGGCACTGTGTATAAGCCTTTAAATAAACAAGCCAAAACTGAGGAAATAAACCTTTCATTTGATTCTCAAATGACAATAATTGCTCAAAATTCAGCACTGGCAGTGAAAAAAGAAATTACTGCATAAAAATGAGAAAAAAAAAATTAATTGAATACTTGACCTGCCTCAGAGCAGGCTATATGCTTCCCAGAAGCAGTAAGTGCTAACACTACTCTTTCATGGCTTTGGCACTGCAGTGGCGCTCATTCAATTCACACAGTCCTTTGGTTCCTGCTCTGGCCTTTGGAAGACAGGTTTTGCTCTGCGACAGTGAAAGCCTTAAAGAACAGCACTGCCAATTCATCCATCATGAAAGCAGATACAAATGGCCCACACCCAGCTTATCACGCTACTTCCTTTAATGAAAAATATCGGCATTAAGGTCATAACACTTGGAAAGAGGAAAGAAAAGCTGTTTGGGGTAATTACCTTCTTTCTCAAGTATATTTGCTTTTCTAAATGACTGGTGAATATAACATGGACTAAATCAAAAACACGAGAGCAAGAATATCAAGGAGATGTGTTAAACAACTTCTGCCTATTTTAAGGCAACAAATATGGCGTACCAGAAAAACTGTAGTAAGAAAAATGAAAGGGAAGGTCATAGCAAAGAGGGAAAGAGGAAAAACATCCTGCAAATGGAAAACTCATTTCAGAATATATATATAGGCACATGATGTACTTCTATATAAAAGAAGGATTTCAAGATCATGAGTTCAAATATGTTTCTGGTACACTGTTACCCATTTTAGATATTCATGAACGTTCATGACACCTACTGTCTTCTTATTTACAGGATTCTACTCACCTATGCACTTTAAGCCATCAGGAGCTGTATAAAACCCTGGAGGACACTTGCAGAAGTAACTGCTAACTGTGTTTGAACACTCTCCTCCATCGCAGATTCCAGGAACAGTGCTGCATTCATCAATATCTTCAAGGCAAAAAGAGAAGCAGGGGCGGGTTAGCTAATCAGTTCTGGCACGAGAATAGGTATTTTATAATTAGTATTAATGATCAAGTGTGGTCTGAGACCCCTCCTAACTTATGTACTAGGGGCATAATCAGCAGGTTTGAATCAGGATCTTTTGTGAGGCATCTTATAAACACACGTGAAACAGAACCTAAGAAAATATTGTATCTGTAAATTGCAAAAAGCCAGAGAGTTTGTTTTACTGCTTAATAATGATGGATGAAAATCTTAAACTGCAGAGGCCATTTACTAACTATAAGTAAAGCGTAACCCCTCAGGTTTCAATTCTGCACAGTAGAATTAAGAAAACTGTCATGGGACTTGCAATGACCACAGTGATCAGGAACTTAACCGTTATGCCTCATGGTGTCTCCAGCAGCACAGCGTCTCCTGGCACCATACTGAGGCAATGGTTCAATACTGACTCACAGGGAAGCGTAGCACCTACTGAATTGCCCATCCTTCTTACTGCACTTGGGTTTTTCTTGGAAATCCCCCATATACAAGCACCGAGCAGCAAGGCACTGTTTAACTAATGCAATCTGACAGATTATAGCTCAAAGCAGGACGACTGCAGGCAACAAAAACTACCTTTCCTGGTTTTATCCACTAAGTGAATGTTCTGAAGTTTCAACAGATTTCTAGACAGTAACTGAAATATCTACTGCAGAATTGAGGCAATGTCCGTAATTTCCCTTAGATTTTGTCAGTGACTTTAAAATAGAAGTCCATATTGTGATTTTCTTCACTAAAAAATCTCAATCCATATACTAAATCATCATCATCGTAGATCCAATGCAGAAAAGCTTTCAGCATCTGCAGAAAAAAAACCTAACAAATACCTTCTTATACCTGATCATAGCTGCATACATGAACAGAGGGAATGTGAAGGGTGTCTTCCACAGCCAGGAGTTTATGTTATTGACAGTCATGTGAATAACAACCTATGCCAGCCCCAATTGCTCCTTAATTACCATCAGTAGCCCGCCTGTGATGTGTAGTTACTTTCCCCCTGGTTTCCAGTGACTGTCTTAACAATGCAGCTGTATCTACTTAGCACTGCTCTCATCTTCTAGGAACCTGGAGTCCAGCTGAGCTTAAAAACAGCTCACTTTTTTCCATGGTACCTACAAGAAGAATCAGCACAGCAGAGCAGAAAGGGAGGTTATTCTCTAGAGTGATCAATGACAACTGCCCATCATGGCCATCTACAATCACCCAGCTGCTCTCCTGACAGGGAGAATCCAGCCAGAAATAATGGCATCACAGGACTCTATCCAACTGCTTCACAGATCTACAGATAGACACATGGCTGTAATAATGATTTCACCAACCACAAAAATTTCTGAGATGAAATACTGCAACACCACCCAACACGCCAAGGCAAGGAGTAAATAATATCGTAGTCATTAAAAACGATTGGAGGAATTTAAATGTAACGCCTAAATTGGAATTTGGCCCCAACAGATGGGGGAACACCCAAAGTCCCACAGGACCGTTAATGAGCATTTTAGCAAGTAGAGAGGATCTCTGTTTGACTTCTCCTGTGAAGATGGTAACACAAAAATTCAGGAATATAAAAACTATCAGTTCCTCTTCCCCTAGGTAAAGCATTGGCTGCTCTAATCCCTTTGTGGCCCCTTGCCTTTGCAGGAAAGGAGTGGAGGGACTGGGGTAACATACAGACAACGAGACCTTGCAGACTGACCCATCCTAAGTGGTGTGGGGCCTTGGGCCCCCTGTACACACATTCCTCCCCAGCATCTTGCTAGCTGTCGTGATGTGGGTCGCATTCCTCGCTTGGGTGTGTGAGAGGGGTGTGACTTTTTGTTCAGTGCTACTTCAAGGGTGTTGCCAAAGCCTCAAGTCCGAGTGCCCTGGGAGCACTGCTAAGAGACTTCTGGCTTCTGCTGCAGGATTATACTCCACAGGAGTCCCAAAAGTCTCAGTGACAAAAAATGTGGAAATTGAATTTTGGTCTGAATAAAGCCCTTTAATTAACAGAGAAAAATGCAGTCGTAAATGGATCAGATTCAAGCATTTTCTGACTCAAATTCACCAATGTTTATCTTAAAGTCAGTGTTGCCACTGTTTATATAGAGTCCGACCTTTTTAAAAGCAAAATCATCACTCTTTATTTTAGGGTTGAGCCTAACCCAAACAGTATTTCACTATTTATATTAGTGTTGACATTCATATAAGCAACATTGTCATTGTTAAGTATGCAAGTTTTATAAAGGTAAGTATACTCAATGTACTTGCAGACATAAATGTCACTCCAGGAAAAATTACTCCCCCTAATCACCACAAAAAAGTATTTACCTCAGCATTAATGCAACTGGAAGAGGAATGGTTACATGCAGCAGTGAAATAATGTAACACTTAAAATACAGTTTTCCACCAGCTATGCTAATAAAGAGAATTTTGGCCAACACACCTCATTTCCCATCTTGTTGCGTTGTCTCACTGTACCTGATGATTTCTGTCATGATCTTACTTTAATGGGGACCCACTGAAAAAACAGTACTGGTAATTCAGCAGGTAGCTCCCACTTCTACTAAATCAGTAGGACACATTACAGCTGCCAGAAGTCCTACTTGCTGGAGAGGAAGTTAAACCAAGCACATGATCAGATGTTAATTATTATAGAATCATAGAATCATAGTATTGTTTAGGTTGGAAAAGACCTTTAAGATCATCCAGTCCAACCATTAACCTACACTACCAGGTCCACACTAAACCAATCAAGGGTAGACTAGACTAGACCATGTCCCAAAGTGCCACATCTACACATTTTTTGAACACTTCCAGGGATGGTGACTCCACCACCTCTCTGGGCAGCCCGTTCCAATGCTTGACTACCCTTTCCGTGAAGAAATTTTTCCTACTATCCAACCTAAACCTCCCTGGCGCAGGGGGAATATGTATTAGAATGTATTGTATTATGTATTAGAATTCATTACAGTTAATTACTACAAGGCAAATACCTTGCCTTATATTGGAAATTTCAACTTAAAACTCAAAGGCATGATTTAAAAAAGCAGAATGGATATGCTGTTGGTAGGTGACTATACTCTGAACTGTTGAATCACTATCCCGTTTCATGCCACTGGTATAAGGGTGCTACTTTTAATTCTTTAAATTGTACTAATACCTACACAGCTTTAACTAAAGTTGCTTGGTACATACAATAAGAAGATGTACTGAAAGTAAGTCTCTGCTGAGGTTTGAAAATTTAGAGGTATAGAATAGAAGAAAGAAAATTTCATCCTATCTTTGCAGCCAGGTGATCACTCCAAAGGGATTTCACAAGATGGGGCAGGAAATTTGTGGCAGGATTTGGGAACAAACCAAGCTATCCCACGTTCTTGGGTCCAGTCCCTCAACTATTATGAAGTGCAGGCTCTGAAGGTGGTGGTTGTTTGGGGTTTTTTGTTCTTTGCTTAGGTTTTTTTGTTTGTTTTTTTTAAAGATGATTCAGCAATCAAAAAATACCATAGAAATGTTTATACAATGCAGCCTATGCAAGCCTACAGTTCTCAGTTTTTCAAGTACTAGTACTTAACAAGGCACATGTTCAGTCTTTCCTATTCACTATGTACTTGGTACTTCATCCACAGAAGGGAGCACTTGCAATGTTGCTCTACCCTAAAGGTGGGTTACTTTCTGCCAAAGCCACCGGCAGTCAGTATGAAAACCATGCTGTGTACACACTCTTCTGAAATTGCTTTCCCTAACCTTCAATTAAATTATAAAGTTTTGCTTGAAATAGGGATTTTTCTTTTGAAAGAGTAAGTCATAATTCTTCTAAAATGACTAAAAAATTTTGAGTGCTTCCTTAAAGGCACCTGATACAAGAAAGGGTGGTGGATACACACCTTACTCTCACAGTCACACACCTTTATGATATTGAAAGTTGGCACTCCAGAACCACTAACCACTTATGAAACTTGTCTGCTCAAATTAATTTAATTTTGTCTAATGACTGAAAGGAGAATCAGTTTTAAGACTTTAAACATTATCTGGACTTCACTGTAAAGAAGATGAATCAAAACTGTGCAATTGACACATTTTAGTACTATGTTCCTTATGCATCCAAAATTCTCTTAAAGCAAAGGAGACATCTATGCCTGATTATTATATTCTAGAGAGAAAAAACACTATCAAATCACAGTTAAAAATTAGCAAGATTCCATAAGCACACACTGCAAACTTCCACACTAATATCTAGCACCTGTTGTACTTCCAAAATAGGATGACCAATAAGGAAAGATAAAATGTTTGTCCTTCTTTAACATCTGCAACGGTAAGGATGAGTTTAGAGCATAGTCCTGCAGTCTTCACTCAGCAGTATCAAACTCCCATTAATGTCAAAAACAGTTTACCGGAGTAGGTGGGAATGTGTTGAACCTTCCAGTCATATACACTTTTTAGTTAAAAGATCCACACAGAGACATGTGCCTCAAGCATTTCTAAAGCAACATATTGGTTAAAAAGTATTTTTAGTTTTAATGTTTAATTTGTTTCAGATGTACCTTTAAGTCTGTAAAATGTTACGTGAATAAAAGGCTAGAAAAAGCTTCAGGGTCAATATTTAAGATTCTCTGGTTTAGAAGCAGAAAGGACCATTATTTGTATTTGTTGTGAAGAATGCTATTTGCATATTCAAGGCAAAAGAGACTGGAAAGTTTGTTACACACTTCTAAACAAAGTTGGCCCCAAAAAGAAGACTTTCCCCCCTTTACTTTCAGAAGAAAGTTCTCAAAGTTCTTACCGTCGCATTTTTGTGTCACTTCATTAAACTTGTGTCCAGCTGGGCATTTGCACTCAAAAGATCCAACAGTATTAATGCAATTTCCCCCCTGACAGATCCCAGGGATGGCTTGGCATTCATCCACATCTATCATATAAAAAAGGAAAAAACACCCACTTTTAATGCATTTCTCAAGAACAGCCATAATAATTTGTCTACACAGAAATTAAAGTAAATATGCCTAAATCCATTCTTCACCCATCATAATATTATGATACTTGCTTGTGAAGACAGACACTAATTTTGTAATTATTCTATGCAAAGTATGATTAAGTACAGTACTCTAAATATTTTCTGCAAGAAATCACATGGTTATTATTGTTACAGACATTAAACATCTAACTGCTATTGCTTTGTTTTTGCAAAACATCTGGGGAATGGTGTGCAGAGAACACAGCCTGCCAAAACCCAGGTTCCTTTAAAGTGTCTGAAGCTGGGCACCCAACATGACTTGCCCCTTTGAAAATCTTAGCAATCCCATACAGTGCACAGCCCACCAGCACAGAGATGCAGGAGCCGTGGAGGAGCAGTGTGCACTGTGCATGGAGGGGGCCTCATGGAGAGGCATGGGGAACTGCATAGTCATTACTGGTGGAAATTATTACCTCGTTACTCCAGTAAGATCAGCACCAATGACCCTACACTGTGGTTAGGATTTGACTCAAGAAGTTTCATAGCCATAATTAATGTCTCCAGAGGAATTATTAATGACCTGCTTAGACATTGATAAATTTGGAGGGTTTTTTCCCCTTTATTTCTCTTTGCTTTTAATTTTTTCACTCAAGAAAGTGAAACAACCAAGATGCTATCACAGGCTAGGTAGGAAGCTCAAGACAAACATTTTCAAGAGGCCCCAGTTTTTGGCTTCACAGCTATTTTAGCACAACAACATGTGTCTCGTCACTTAGACGCAAAGTGTTGCTACGGCTTAGTAACAGCTAGAGAAAAGAGACTAAAGAGGGAGGAGTGGCATTGCAACAGGAGACAGTGGAGGTCTGGCTCACAGTCCCTGGGGGCTGCCCTGTGTCTGCTGCTCCCTGTCCTTCCAGAGCAAACAGAGCACTCACCGCTCTCCAACCCAAATGCCCGTGCTTCCCCCAGCTCCCCAAGGAGTACCAGCTCCTCCTGGTACAACCCAATTTCCTGAATTCTTGGGCTTCACACTAGGATCAGTTTCAACACAGGGACACAAGCTGAAGGGGAGGACGTCTTCAAACCTCCCTTTATAAATCCCAGAGAGCCAGCTGTAATGCGTCTTGTAGTCTGAAAAGCAAAGTATTATGTCTGTACAAAAGGCCAAGTGGCAATTTCCCTGGGAGCCACAAGTAGGAAGTTTCAGGAACGCCAAGGGGTATATCTGTACCACATCGCAGGCGTTATGCAAAGATCCCCGGCCGACTGAACCTGGTCAGGGGGTGCAGCAGCAGAGCCAGAGCAGTGCTGTGCCTGAGCTAACTGCTGTGCTGGGAGGCACAGGGAACTAGCACAGCCTCAGCACCCTCGACACAGCCACATCGCTGCAGCAACTTGAGCTACAGCAATATGCTGTGCTTTAGTAACAGTAATCAGCCAGACTTCATGGCACTGTACTGACTTTAAAAAAAAAAAAAATTAAAAAAATAGAAATCATGCTCCTGAGTCACGATGTCTGTTTCAAAATCCCACCTTTTGGCTTTCATTTTCCTCCTTTGTATCTTTTAAAAACCTCAGCTGTGACATTAATTTAACTATCGGCCAGACAGACAAAGTCAAACTGTGGGCAGTGATATTCTATTTACTTTTTAAAATAAACTTGCCCTCCCCATCGTTTTATTTTTTCTGACTTCTCCACACAATAATAATGGTTCCTTTTTCTCTTCAGAGAACCTGGATTTTATTTAACCTGCTTTCCTTTATTTAGATTGAATATGGATGTGAAATCCCTGAAATGTCTTCAGTCTGAATGGATATTATCTGATTTCAAAAAGACTGGATTTAGTACAATTGCATGAAAAACAAAGCTAATATGTGGTTCCATAGCAGATCTGTTGAAATTATGAACACATTACAAGAGCAGGGAAAACTGGAAAGTACAAGTCAAACATACAGGGCCAAAACTGTGTTGGCACCGCATACAGATTAGCATAAATGTAGCTGCATGCTAAGAAATGTGCAGCAAGCAGAAGTAGCCTTATTCCGAACTGCACAAACCCATTGGAGAGGTCACTGCAGCTTTTCCGTGACACAAACAAGAGGGATATAACTAGGTGTGGCACGAGTTCAGGGGTGTGGGCCACATATTTACGCACATAAGATTTCGGAAGTGTCCAGAACCTCGATTCGCAGATTTCTGCACAATTTAGTTCTGACCTTTACAGTGAGAGGGGTGAACAGAATGGCTGAGGTCAAAATATGTGCACGTTATGTGGCATACACAAACATGCCCATCTCGAAGTTCATCATGCCTGTCTGCAGGCACCAGCCAGGACTCGGTCTGTGACAGGGGATATCTACATTCTTTAACGTAATGGAATGCCTTGAAGTCCTTCATAGGAATTTCATGATTAAATAAAATTACTCATACATTTATAATCTTTATCTCCCCTATTTTCAAAAATATTGTAACTTATTAGAAAATGTTAGACAGATTGAAATAAACTAGCCCCAGAGATATGGTCCTGGGAATTTACAATCCACATCAGTCTAATACATAGCTGCCCCTGTTAACTTTCTCCTGTTTCCTGCCAGACATCCAGACAATAAAAGAATTTATACAGCTGGAAGTATTAGAATAAAAGCCAAAAGCAGTGTAAGGACTTTCTATGGTAAGGCATGCTCAGAAAGAAGTAAGCAACATCTGGGTGGATTTTACAATTTGAAACAAATGCAAATGCATTTCCAAAATTGTATAAAATATATAATAGGGCATTTCAAATGGCACGACATGCACTTTTCTCCAGGTCAAAGCAGTGTAGCTTGAGAGATAAGACACTGAAGATGAATCCAAAATCAACACATTTTAGTTAAAAATCCCACACCAGATCACCGGATAAATGGAACAGTATTGCCACGGATTGATTATTGCACATTTTGAGTGCTTTTTGAAACAGAATAAATTCTTCCACGGAATGATCAAGTGGTACACTCAGAAAAACACCATTACAGAACCAAGGGAAAGGGCTGCTGGCAGTGAGAAATTCATTAAGATGCTGGCTGCTCTCACATGACCTAAGTTACTAGCGTACTCACTTGAACATCAGGCACTCACTGAATCATGAAGTAATGCATCTGACAATGTTTTTCCATTCTTCACACATATAGCTGAGAATGGCTTAGGACAGGTTATTCACAGCAGTGTAACTCAATTAAGATTAATCCAGTAACAATTTCAGCAGCTTTTGGGGAAGCATTGCTGCTAACGTACCTTGACAGGCCCCAGTTCGAATGTTTGGAATGAAGCCTCGTCGGCAGGGATGCGGCTGGGCAGGACACATTTCACAGGGGTGGCCCCATGCTCTCCCAACTGTTGCACAGCAAAGGGTTTTTGTGCAGACTATTCCACTGAGCTGTCCCTGGCACATCTGGTTGGTTATCAAAGTGAAGCAAGGGCCGGTCCTGTAATCTGCACCAAAGACATGAAACCTAATCAGCATCACAATAAAAATACACACCAAAACTCAAAATAAAGCAAAACAACAGCACATTCAGGCAAGTCTTCTGCACGTAAATTGCCCACCAGCCCAACATTTTTACTTAGCAGTGTTCTGCAGAGGATTTTTCTCAAGTTCTCTTCTCATTCAAATCCACTGAAAATAAGCAGCTCTATAAATACATTGTGACTATTTTACCAGGAGTATTATATACTTAAGATTCTGCACGTCCCCTTTGCTGCTTGGTTTAATCTCTGGTAATACTCTTTGGGAGGTCTTTTCATCAGTTTGTTTTAAATATTCAGTGCATTAATTCAAATAATACTGATAAAAGTGTTACGGTATGTTTATTTCCACAAGTGGTGTTCTCAAATGAGTCTCAAGAGAAGGCAATACAGACTGCAGAAAGTTTTTTGAGGACAGTTTTCACTGTTATTCAGGCATACGCTGTACCAGATATGTGGGTAAGCTTTGCCTACAGCCGAATGGAGGGCATGTGGAACACATCTGCTTTGATTTGTTTATGGTAGGACAGGCCACTTAGCCAACAGACAGAATTAAACTAAGATGTTAATAAAATACTAGTAGGCTTTATTTTGTTCCATTCTCCAAGGGCAACAACTAAACAGTGGTACTGCCAACTCCTGCTGTCTCCTCTACATCCGGGGTGCACACTCCAGTTAATTCTTCACAAGCGATGCTAAAATGTTTTTCTGTTATGGTACACCAGGACAGAGTCCAGCATCCCATGAACACAGCCAGCAAATTATGAACCTGATGTTTGCCTGCACTGAAATAGTTACCCAGTGCCTCAGCCAAGGTCACTAACTAATCCACACTGCCTTACAGTCATGACATTATAAATTCATCCAATTTTCGTGCCACTGCCAAACTCTTGTTTCCAACAAACAATAATGTTTCCACTAAACCATTGATAAATAGTGTTAAATAGGGCAGAAGTTAAGAATGGATGCCTTTCCCATCTGCCCCATCTCCCCATACCAGGTGCACCTTGAACCTTATCATTTAACTAATCTTCATTCCAATCCAGGGATGCTATGTCCATGTGCTATAATTCTGCTGATTAATCAAGCCACCCCTTGATAGAATAAAATGGCTTAAAGAAAAGCTGTAAGCTATACAATAGTGCTACATTGTTACTATTATCTTCATCAATTAAATGTGATCTTCTCAGAAAGGATATCAAGTTAGTTTGAAAGACCTGCTTCTGATAAACTTGTACTAAATGACACTTACACACCGTTTACTCTTCATTAACTATGTATTACAACCTATAATTGCTATTGTATCTTTTGCCTGTTTAACAGACCTATAATCACCCAGATCATCTCTTTTCCTTTTAAAATAGTGGAACAATAATAATTTTCTTCTAGCCTCTGGAAATTTGTCCTGTATTTCCAGATTTATGAAGAATTAACCTGCATGATATGAGAACCCTTTAGCTAGCTCTTTTCAGTCTCCCTAGTGCTGGTTACCTGGACTAGCTGTATAAAAATACGTAAATGCAATTACTGCTATTTAATGTCATCCTTAAATGCTATCAGACTGCAAGTACAAAATTTCTGTCCTATCCCCTCCAAACAGTACAGGTGCATTTACTGAACACTTCTCCCTCTTCTTCCCTAGCAATTCCGTGAGCCTCACCATGAAATGGTTCAGAATCTCTCATAACATGTCTCTTACTCTTGGTTACTTAATTCCTTTTCATCATCTTAACTTTTTTTGCTTTGGTATTTCTCATTGTGTCCCTTCACTTCCCATATTAATTTTCTACACTACAGCTTCTATCAAGTTCTTTTCCCATTTCTAAGTATTTTTGTAACTGCTTTCATTTTCCCAGTTAGACAGGCTTGTTTACCTTTTGTCAAAACTTACATTGCCTTCTTTCTCATATCTCATTGTAGAACTGCAGCTTTGGAAGCATGTAGTACAAAATCAAATACTACCAGCTTTATCTTATTCCTTCAGCACACAAATACATACAAAGAAGTCCTGATCAGTTATACCTACCAATTAAAAAAATTTAGTTCCAAGATTGATTCTTCATCCTTGAACAAAATGAGGTCTAAGAGACACTTTACTGCATGCAAAACTCCTAATATTTAAACTCCTAATATTAAAACAACAGATGACAATTTCTTTAGAAACACCACAGTTTTGTGTTGGCAACAGGAAATCTCCAATGTACCTCCTCAGAATGAAATCCCTCATTGTAGTGTGTCCCTATGCCATTTATATAATGGTTTAAAAAGGAGTCATTTTGTTCTGTGTTGTAGCGGGAAGCACGCGTCAGACAGTAGTCAATAACCCATCTTGTATTTTATGTTAGAATATGAATGGATCAGCATTTACGATTGTTTGCTTTCAAGCTATAAATGACCTAGCAGTGGCTAATATGACTTAGAAATATGGGGAACCCAATGAAGTTAACTTTATAATCATGCAAATCTTTCCACAAGGTTTTTGTAACAAGAAGTAGGTCAAATATGCACTCAAACCCAAGCAAATCCAGCTCCTATTTGTTACTATCCAAATTCATAGCACTTTAGTACAGAGAATTATAGACTTTATTTTCCCCCAGTCCTTTGCCTTGAAAAATTTTATTCTTCGTACTCAGTTTTCTGCTGAGTACAACTTTCCTTCTATTCTCTCAAATACAATCTTTCACCTTTTTACAAGTAAGATTTTCTTTTGCGTTCTTAATGGAAAATTCTAAAGGTCAGAAAAATGCATAAGAAAAAGATCATTTGGATGTACACACTGACCTATGGCCCCAGAGAACACACTTCATGTCCATTTTTTTATACAGAGGCTTAATAAAAAGAGGTCTAAAATTAAAGCATTCTTAATAGTCAGTTTAATATTTTGTGACACGTTACAAGATGAAGGCCTGTGAGAAGGAAAAGGAAATGGGATTCCACTAACAGGATGGCAAAACGAAAAAAGAATGGTTTCACATGTAAAGAGATTTCCTTGAGTTATACCGTTTCCCTTGAAGGTGTTTGCTTTTATGAATTATGCTGATTGCAGAAGATGCAGTAAACCCTAGGGTCTATGCTACAAGGCACTGACTTGGGATATGAACTTAAACTCCCAATCTTTATTTTGTAACAGCAAAGTTTCCTTATACATTCATGTCATTTGCAATTACTCAAACTACTTCGAATAAAGCTCAAACACAAGGTTCCAAGCGATCAGTTAGGAGTTGAAAGGAGAGGAAGGGGAAAAATACAGCCAGAAAAGCTATTACACAGTTTGTGTTTTTTTCCAGAGGTAATGTCATTTTAACTGAAGAATGTTGAGACTTGAAATTATTTTACTAAAATGATTTTTTAAAGATATGCAACTGATAATTCAAATGTTTTAACTCACTTCTAATGCAAATTTCAGCACATGCAAGCAGCCTTCAGTAAGGCATTAGCCACAGTTATCTAACAACTTTATCTGCTTCTTCACATACTTAGCTATTTTGATAAGGAATAATTCCACAGGGAGCCTCAGACAACTGAGAAGGCGGCAGACACTGTAAACCACATTAAGTTCATATACCGTCAAAAAGAGCAAGAGGGCAATAGAATGAGGCTGGTGTACACCATGCAAGACTCCAGTTTATTAAGTCCGCAGGAAAGAATCAGGCTGCATTTTGATCTAGAGCTCGTTCCTGTTTCAGCCACAATCATCAAATAATTTTAGTTATCTTCTCAAAAGATCCTTTATGCTCCTAAAAGCACCGCAGAGGCTGCTGAAATATGTAGTACTGGCAGGCTTTGATCAAAATCTAGCACAGCAATAAATAATGATAATTGTTCCAAGTAATGCTGGACAGCACCAAAGACACTGCAAGCACCAGGATAATGCAAGACTTCTGACACCAGATACACATCTTAAGCCCTCAGCTCGTGTTAACCTCTGTTTGTTCTTAAACACAATATAGTTTTTAATGTAAAAACACAGTTTTAAAAAAAATTGAACTAATGGAACCCAGATTAAACAATTATGCTAGTGCAAGGATGCTGGATGACATTCTGGTCACACTTTCCTCCAAGAGCCATTCCTTGTAAAATCTCCTATGAAGAGTTCTTGATGTTTCAAATTAACAGCCTGATTTTGCAAACTGATAAGCACCTGTTAGGGAGGTTGACAGACTCTTCCACCCTTGTTAAAATAAACAGATGCTGAATGGGTGCAAAGGTCAAAGGATAGGACCCTAGCAAGCCAGCATTTATCTTACCATGATCGAGATACTGAAAAGAGGAAAATGCCATCTCCTGCCATCATAAAGAAATGGATAATGATAAAATGAGTGCTGCTTTTCCAGTCCTCAGCACACAGCACACACAGCTCACACAGTACCTTGTGCTGCACACTGGCTGAGCAGCAAACCCAGAACGTTGCTTGGAGGGAGGAAGCATTCCTCCTAGCTGTTAGCACTTCACATGGGTAAATTCTGCATGAACCCCCAAATTGAGCCAAGACTGCTGTGTAACTGAAACCCCCCTCAGCAACGCAAACTGGCAACTTGCCCTTTCTTTAGTACAGGGGAAAAGGGAAAGAAAGGAATATTCCATTATCATACAAAGAATGAAAGAAAGGTCAGAAAGGGCTCTAAGGCAAGTGAAGTATCTTAAAGCTGATCTTTATTACAGTTTACTTTCCTGCCTAGCAGCATTTTTGTTTCTGCTGTTTGGTGGCTTGGTGGTTTGGGTTTTTTTACCAGCTGGGGATAAAAGAGGAACATTGGAAGTGAGACTGCACAAGGCAGAAACACAGTCTTGTCTCTGCAAGGCCTGCTCAGCGCTGCTCACGTGTGACCCACTGCACTTGATAGCCCATGCCACTGCTTGGCCAGCCATCAGAAAAGAGAATTGCAACTAGTTGCACCTGATAATGCTCTTCTGGAAACTGATCTCACACAGCCAAAGAATAACGCTAGCAAAAGACTGGCGGTCTG